AAAAAAAAAGAAGAGTAAACATAAACAACACACGTTCCAGTGAATTTAAACTCCTCTTATTAGGGATGTTCATTTAAAATCTACATCGCGATGATTTTTTTCGATGCATCGACCGAAAAAGGTTGCAATTTAGGATTGCTCGGATATACATCGATGCATCGAAAATATCGATGTAGATTTTAAATGAACATTCCTAATTCTTATAAAAAAATATATATATATAATTTAATGACGTTATTATAATTAATAATTAATATAAAAAAAATGAAATAATGTCGAAATATATCCGAAATCAATTATGTGATACGAATTATACTATATATATATATATATTATTATTATTATTATTATAAAAAAATATGTTTTAAGATTTAAATTTAAATTATATGCGTTTAGTATTCATTCGTAATTATATTTTAATTTAATTTTATCTTTTTTTTGTTAAAAAAAAAAAAAGATACATACGATCGATCAATAAAAAATCGTAATTTCGAAATCGAATTAATAGTAATAATAATAATAATAATAAAGAGTGAGTTGAATTCTTTTTAATAAATTTATCAAAGCATTCGCAAATGATAGGTATTTTAAATTATAATTTATAAAAACGTCAGAATTCCTGTTTATGTAAACTTTTGTATTTTAAATTGAATTTATATTAAAACAAGCAATGTTAAATTAATCGTTGAAACATTTTTCGAAGAATTAATAATTAACAGTTTAATAATACAGTTTCTATCTAATTAGATCATTCTTTATGCAAATTGTATGCGTATACAAAATGAAAAGCTCAAAAAACGTAAAACATGGCGTGCATTGAAGAAAAATACAACATGAAATGTTTTACAACATTTTTGAAAAATTATTATGAAATTAATGAAATTATTCGAATGAAATAATATATATATATATTATTATTATTATTAATTAATTAATTAATATTATATTTATATATAAACTGTGGAAAGTCAAAATTGTGTTTTACAAACAATAAAAATCATAAAAAATAATAATAATAATCATTGACAGGAATTCTGAATATATATATATATATATATATATATAAAAAAATTAGAAAACTAATTTTTTTGAAATTTTAATCAACTGTAATGTAATCTAGGTTTTTTTTTTAATATTTTTTTTTTTTTATTTTTTTAATCAAATCAACAACAAAAAATTTCGTGATAGTTCTTTTTTACAAGTGACGATATTTGTTATAAAAAAAGAAAAAAAAATTCTCTTTTTTAACACGTTGAATTGTAAAGTGAGATGGATCAATGGTGAATAAGTTTAGAAGAAAATTTATTTCCTAACAACAATTTTCACAAGGTTTTAATTAATAAAACAAATGGAGTAAAATCTAGTCAAAAGATTAACTATTAAATTATGTGTAAAAAAAAATTAAAATTAAATTAAATTAAATTAAAAATACAAAAATTGTAAACACCGGATGAGAAGAGCAAGTAAAAAAAAATAAAAAAAAAAAACGAAAAAAATATATTCAACGTGTTAAATCGAAATCATAAATATTACAAATATTTCAACCATGTTATTTTGTTATTTTCATATAAAAAAAAAAAAAAAAAAATGTTAAATCGAAATCATAAATATTACAAATATNATTTAAGTTCAAATGAGAAAACCGTGTGTCAAATGTTTCTTACTGAACTTAAAACGAGGCATTAAAAAAAAAAAAAAAAAAAAAAAAAAAAAAAATTGGGGAAAAAAAACAAGAAAAACGGCCACCCTGAGCGAAACTCTTGTGTATATATTTGCAGGCGTGCCGAGCAAACACTTGTGCCAGATTTGCAATAAGAATTTCTCATCATCTTCGGCCCTCCAGATCCATATGAGAACACATACCGGAGACAAACCATTCCGATGCACCGTCTGCGCTAAGGCCTTCACCACCAAGGGTAATTTAAAGGTATAGATATGAAACCAAATGTTGTCTCATCAATTATTTCTATTTATCTTTTTCTATCACTTTTTTTTATAATCTCACATTCTATCTATCTCTTTCTTTCTTTCTATTTCTAATTCCTATAGAAACCTCATTTATCTATCTAAACATTTTCCCCTATCAGCTCCAAGAATTTTTTATTTTTTTTTTTATTTTTTCATTTTTTTTTTTTTTTGTTTTTATTTCATTAATCCGGCTAGCTAGCTACTATTGCTTTTTTTTACTAACGCCATAATTAAATCAATAAAAATAGAAAAAAAAAAAAAAAAACAAATAATTGTACAAAAATTCTCGCAAGCTCGATGATAGATTAGCGCTAATAACCGAATAAAATCATTTGATAAATAAATAAAACATATTCAACAAATATTTCCTTAATTTAAAATGATATTTATATAATTTAATCACAATAACTGACCTTGGAATATTCTTTTTGATTTGATACTTGTAGGTACACATGGGCACACATATGTGGACCAACGGAGCTCATCGTCGAGGTCGACGCATGTCGTTGGATCTGCCACCTCTGCCCATCACACCCAAGGACTCGGACTTTCTTCAACGACGGCCGGATCTTTTCTATCCTTATCTACCCGCGCCATTCCTTAACGGAGTACAAAAGGTTTGTTTTTGTAATAAATCATTTCATAAACAATTATTGTCACAGTTTTATCGATGAAATAAGACAATGGGGGTAATTAAAGGGATACTTTAGACATTTTCTTGTTTAAAGTAATCATCTGACTGTTAATTAACACATTCCGTGTCAATTTGATGTTCAACCCACCTGTACCACCTGTGGGTTATACTTTTAAATCAATTTATTTAATGTGTTGCAAATAAAATGACGTAAACGAGACAAGTCCAACAGAAATGGCTTGACACGGAACGTGTTAAAAATTATAATTTTATTAAACACTTAAATTAACCTCAATCTTTAAAATCAACCAATTAAAAAAAAACCCTATTAATATTAATATTACAGTTGAACGAGATATCGGTGATTCAAAGTAACAACGGATTGCCAGCCCATTCTGTAGGAGCAGCAAAATATGCCGGATTATTTGGAACAGTTTACGGTGGTAACGGAGGAGGTGGTTTTCCCGGTGACAAACAACCCATGGCACCAACAAGTAACGGTCCATTGGTCGACGGTAAACCAGCGATACCAACTGGTTCGATGCTATTTCAGACACCGTCACCTTCACATTCACCTGGTACACCATCATCTAACAGTGGCAATCAAAATTCGGCTAGTATGCCATCATGGACGACGAGTCCTAACGATCCTTTGCAACATCATTTTGATCGTGAACCACCCGGTAGAACGGAAAATGCATCAACACCACCTTCGGCGAGATTACCGCCACCTTCGGCGCCTAGGGGCGAAGGTTTAGCCGCGTGAACCTTGACATATCCTTGGATTTTATCGTAAAGTCCTTAATTCTCGCTATTTATGTACAGTTTAGGAGTAATAATTATAATTATAATAATAATAATAATAATAATAATAATAATAATAATAATAATAATAATAATAATAATAATAATAATAATAATAATAATAANTAATAATAATAATAATAATAATAATAATAATAATAATAATAATAATAATAATAATAATAATAATAATAATAATAATAATAATAACAATATTAATATTAATAATATTAATAATATTAATAATAATTATAATAATAATAATATTAAATATAATGATTATAACGATAATACAACACGAAAAAGAAAAAAGAAAAGGAAAAAAAAAAATTAGGCAAACGACGACTAAATATGGAAATTGAAAAACAAAATGGCAGGAGGAAAAGAAGAAAGAAAGGAAGAAAGAAAGAAGGAAAGAAACAGGAAGAAGAATAAGAATAAATGATCAGGGACTTCCGGTAGTCCCGGAATCACGGAATGGGCTTTGTTCATTCAAGAAAATGGACGATTTTACGATTTACAATCCTCCGTCCCCCAAAAGTGACATTTAAATTTGGAAGTGATCGTAGACAATTTGAGAATGAAAAAAAAAAAAAGTGCAACGTCGAACGATTTTTTTTTATTTCTTTTTTATTTTTATTTTTTTTTTAATTCGTAACAGCTCAAAATGAGACGAAAAAAAAAATATATATGAAAGGAAGAGCCTGTGCATTTTTTGTTTGTTTTAATTAATTAATTAATTAATTAATTATGATTATATATATTATTAATAATAATAATAATTGCGGGTAGAACTGATACGGACTTACAGTTAAACCGCACCAAACGTCGTCATTGACCTTGAACGAAAATGAGATGAGAATCAGGAAAAAATACGATTTGTTTGGTACCACTGTTGAAAAATGACATTTTTTTTATTTATATAATTAATATATATATATATATATATGTTACCGTTAAAATGTCAAATTATTATATTGACATGTTACAATATGGCGGGGAAAAGAAAAAACAATCACATATTTTAACTTGTTAATATGAAAATAATTAATCAAAATATCGCATTGATATTTGATTATTTTATTCAATCAAAAAAAACAAAAAATAAGAATAATATATTATTAACAAAATTATTAATTTATAAAATACAAGAAATAAAATAAGTTGATAGGAATAATTGCAATTATTGTTGCAAATAGAAACAAAAATTCATTTTAATTGTAAATGTGTGATGTTTTATATGAAGATTATAATTTAAATTTTAATATATACAATTCTTTTATATATATATATATATATATATATATATATATATATATGTTTTTACATATGACCGAATTAATTTGTTAAATGAATTCATTAAATTATACGCTTTAACGGTAACATATAACGAAAACAAAAAACAAAAAAACCTAACCTAACCTTTTTCTCTCTCAATCGATAAATCCGTGACTGAATTTGATTAAGGTGGTGCAAAATGGTGGATAAACAAATGACGACACAATGTTCCTATTATAACACTAGTCTTAACGCGTAGAAATTGATCGATAGGTAGTTACCGATTCGATATTTGACTGCTTCCGGATAGCTTAGGGGACAAATCAATAAACCGGAAGTCAACAGACTACCGGGTAATGAAAAAAGAAAAAATAAGATGGAAATTTCTATTGAAACATCGGCCCGTTTCGCGTTAAATATCATTGTCCTCTTTTTAATTAAAATGCCTATATCTAAACACACACACACACACACACACACAAAACAGACACACATATAAACATGTTTCATACATCACATATACACGGAGAGAGAGTAACAGGTATTACGTATAAATAATTACATTAATTAAATATTTCAAAACATGACATTTGTGTGCTCGAAATAGGCGGAGTTCGGGTCCTCTAAGAATTCGTTGATATTGTCGAACCGTTTCGGGGTGAGGGGTTCAAATAATAACGCGATGCCTAGACTGAGCTCGTTTTACTTTATATATATATATACACACAGAGTGATTCACCAGTTCTTGACACCTAAATATCTTCAAAAGGTTGTATGAACAATTCATGACAACAATACAACATTAATATTTTTTGTGGATTAGGTTCAATCAATTTCGAGATTCATTGGTCAACTTTGTTTTTTTAAATACTAATTTTCGGATAGCGGATGACAAGACGAATCCCAATGATGTGCAACATTAAATACATAAATCTGACAATGACCAATAAAAATTATTCGGAAAATATCTGTTCCATCCGTTGCGGGAACAACTAAAGGATGATGGAATCCTGACACAACCCTGACGCGACCATGACATGGAAGAGCTTTATTGTTGCCCAGCTTTGTTCGCCAGTTTTTACCTTCGTTGATCTTCAAAAATATTAATGTTGCATATCATTGGATTCGTCTTGACAGCCGCTATTAGAAAATAAGTATTTAAATATAACATTGTATTTAAAAAAACAAAGTTGACAGATAAATCTCGAAAGTAAGTCAACTTAGTGAAAAAATATTAATGTCATATTGTAGTCCTGAATTTTTCATGCAACTTTTGTCTTATCCATTTTGTTTGTTACTGTCAGACTTTCGATACTATTTTGTTGGCAAGAACTGGTAAATCATATTGTATATATATATATATAACTTTGACCGATTTTCAAATGAAATTCATTATTAATTATGGGACAAGGTTTAAGAGAGCCAAAAGACACGTGGTATCACGTAAATTTTCTTTTAATTGAACTCTGAACTCTGACCGTCCAATCGCGACAGTGATGGTCACCTCACTTTTTAGGATTATCTCTTAACTATACTTTATAAATATATATATATATATATATACATAAGAAAATGTATACATATAAATATAATATAAATATATATATATATATATACATATATATGTATATGTATGTATATATATATTATATATAAATCATTGTATTCGAACGATGGGACGTGAATGTGTGCGTTGTATACATTTGAATAATAACACACGTTAAACTATACGTGTGAGTGAGTAACGTGTGTAAAAATATGAGATAAGAAAATTAATTTAAAAAAAAATATATATATACAGGGTGTGTTCTAAGATTGGTAATGAAAAATGAAATGTATAATGAAAAAAAAAAAAATAATAATAATTAATAATAAAATTTGTTTTTTTATTTTTTTTTTGAGAAAAATAAATTTCAAAATTTGCGAATTTTTAACTGAACTTTTTGCACAATATTGTAAATTAAAAAAAAATTATACTAATTAATAAAAAAAAAAAGTTAAAACCTATACAAGAAATATTATCATACTGATAAGATTTTTTAATACAAAATACTGTTCTTTGAAATAAAAACCACCAATTACAGAACACCCTCTATAGATATATATATATACTTTTTTTTTTTATTATAGGTGTATACAGGGTGGTAAAAAAAAAACAAAATTTAGAAGTCTGATATTTTAAAGAGCTTATTTTCTCATTTTCTTGTAAATCTTTTTTTTTTTTATTAAAAAGAAAACAAGACAAATTTTATACTTTGTAAATGCAAACGAGTATAAATTAATTTTTTATTTTTGTACAAAATTTATTCACTACGATGATTAATAATCAAAAATTAATTTATATCGACTCATAGTAATAAAAACTTTTTTTTTTTTTTTTGATAATATAAGCTTTAAAATGTCAGACATTGTTCATTTTTTTTTCCACACTGTATATATATATGTTACTGTAAAATAATGAAATTCATTAATTCATGAAATAATTATCTATTAAATAAAATACTATACCTATCATAGGTATAGTAATTTATGAAACTCTATAATATTTATTAAATATAATTAAAATGAAAAATCAAAAATATTTATTAATATAAATTCAAACAAAAATGACAAAATACTTTAAACTAGATAAGATATTTTAACTAATTGGACTCTTTCGCTTAAAAAAAAATTCAATAAATAAATTACAATTTTATTAATAAATTTAATTACGTGTGACTATAACGAAAAACATTGAATTGTATTTTTTTTTTGTTTTCAAAATAAAAACAAAAACAAACAAACAATTAATAATAACGTTGTGTAATAAAAAAAAAAAAAGTAAAACAAATATTTCAAATATAAATCAAATTTCAATCTAATATTTGTTACAAACACATTTCTCATTAAATTCTCATCATTTATTTAATTAGTTTGATTAATTTCTTTTTTTTTTTTCAAAATCTAATTCACAAACATCATTATATAAAATTATTGATATATATATAATTGTCTCGATAAAGGTAGAATAAATATTTCATGAATTAATTGAATCATAAATTTGAACACATGTAACATATAAACCTATAAATATATATATACATATACACATATAAATATTCTTGACTCATAAACATAAGAACACACATAAACACACATACATACACACACGCACACACGTTATATATATTTATGTCCTGTATAATATATACACATATATATATATATATATATATATA